TCTGTATGCGGAGGAGCACTTATCCTATCTTGAGTCAGCTGCAAACAATGCAAATTAGCAAATATTAGTTCATTTCGTCCCATTGTACTTCTCTCACACAGCATTCAAATTGATGCTATAAAACGCAATGTGCCACCTATGTGTACACATGTATGTATGGACAAGTATGTATGTATGTATATACACGCGCACATAAGTGGGTGTGTGTTTGATTACAGCGCCTGTTAGTGTCTGGGTAGGTGGGTGGTCGGGTATTTGTTTAAGCTGCTGTTAACTTAAGTATAACAATGATAAGGATAACGTCAGACAATAACGATTTTGTTGGCATTTAAGTTACCTGCAATACCCACTGACTCACGCACACACACACACGCACACACACACACACGCACGCACACACACTCGCTTTATCGCCTTACACACAATATGTGTTGCACCTTATTTATTTGCCGCTCCCAGGTCCTTGGGCCAACATTCGACTTAGCTACTTGAACATTTGTGTTAAGTAATTGGAATGGTCGGGATTTACACTTAAACAATTTTTCGCAATTTTCCTAATGACGCGCACATACTCGTACACACACAATCACACAGCCCCCCTCATCCACTTATTGTGTAGAGGTGTTGCTGTTGTAGTTGTATCTTAAATCTTATATAAGCATGTCTAAGTCGTCGTGTGGCGCTTCCTTTTGGTTTTATTTGTTTGCCGCCTGCCGTTGCTGTTGCTGTTGTTGCTTTTGTTGGCTCAATGAAAAGGCTTCAAATGCTCATTTCAGCAAATTGCAGCTCCTTTCATTCGACGCACATTAGCAGCATGAACGCGCACACAAACCCATATATAGACAGATAGATACAAGTATATACACACACTCGCACGAGTGTGCTCGCATATGCGTGTATGTGCGAGCATGTATTATACATATAGTTGTTGTGAACTCAATTAATGGCAACAAATGCAAATTTCATTTAAATGGCGTATAATTTTGAATTTGCATTTAGTTGCCTGCCAGCCTGCCATTCATTGTAGCCATTTTGAATTTGTTGCTGCCGCTTACTTACGGCTTTGTTAGCTGCTGCAATAGGCTTAAGCACACATATTTAAGCCATTTATTCGTATGCCAAATGATGAAAATATCAAGCCCCTCCACACATACATATATCATGCAGGTAATTAGATGCGACTGAATTCCAAATTCTAAGCTGCACAAGGGTTGGCGCAAGGACTTGACATTTGAAGTTTCTATTGTGTTGCATCCACCTCAATGTCTCCTTAGCTGAATAAATGAAGTTGTGGGCTTGTAAGCAGCTAAGGAAACGCAACTCTAGACGGCATTGCAAGCACTAACATCTTTTTCTAAGCCCAATCTACTCATAATAATGCACTTCAAAGCCATCCTTGTGCAAAGAAAGTCAGTGATGAATGTGTTTTACCGGCGATTTACATTTATTGTGTGTCTTATCAATTCACCATCACGCTCTTATTATAATACTATTTAATCTCAAGTGAGCTCTCCCACTAGAATCTCCTATTTTAAGCTACCTCCGGCAGAATCATGATAGGGGCATAGCTTGCCGGACTGGCTAATAAACCTTTCCCCAATGGGTCAGCGATTCTCCACCTTTGGCTTTTAATTATATCTTAACTTTTATTATGTAAGTTTGTTAGTTCTTAGCTTTTATCTTTTATTATTTAAGTATTTTAATATTAATATGTTTTCTTTTAATCTAATCATAGTACTTATTTTTATCTTTTATTGCTATTTTTTCACCTTTATTTCTTTTTTGCTCTGAACCGGGGCATAGCTGGCCGTTTGGCAAATAAATCCCCCCAAAGAGTCGGATTCGTTATTAAAGATTTTTGTAATTATTGAGACACTTTTATTTCTTATTTCTTTTATTTATTTTAATATCTCTATTCTATTGATTTTTTCGGTTTTGTACATCGAAAGATTTGTTCGTCTATGAAAGAAATAATTGAATATATAAATATAACCGTTTGAAGGATTTATTAGAGGAAGTTTTATGCCTTTCTAAACACTTGCAGAACTTATTGTTCTTCCTTTTATTTTCTTGTTGGTTCTAGCTAAATTAGGATAAAAAGGTCGGAAGTATCTGGACTTTAAGAGACAGTGCAATTGGTGGATAAATGGAGTTGTTGTGCTCAAAGAAGGCTGTTTAGGAGGCGTGGCACAACAAGAATATCAAACTTCCGTGTTATGGCCAAATATGTTTAGGTTGTGCCATCAATTGTTTTCAATTGCTTTACATTATAACCTTACACACAGAAAAGAATGTATATTTCCTGATTTCCTAATTTCACAAATTGTTTTTCTGTAAATTAACTGACTTACAAATATGTCTCTATAATTATTGCTTCGATTCACTTCAGTTTTTTTTAAAATTTAAATATTTTATACTACAGTCATCCTTCTATAAATTGTTTCAAGGCTTTTAGTCATTGACTACAAATGGAGCCTCGTTTTTGTCCATATTGTCCCGCTAATTTGGAAGTACTGTTTATTAATTTCTATAGCGAATTGTTTAATCTACGCGTAACTCGAAAAAAGCTGTTTTTATCTTACCATACAGGATATTGCAGTGCATAGAAGCCGTGTGGACTCTCTCGCTCAAGAGCTGTTCCTAATTCATCAAATTAAGAGGAGCAGTTAACTATTTTATTGGCACTTTACGAGCTCTCGATTGTCCACCGAGGGAGCTTCCTGCACAGCAATGCTTCCAATGTAAGCTTTTTATGAGCACCACATTGGTTGTGCAGTATTTTATTTCGCCCAAATGCATGCCAAGGCATACTATACTAGGACTATACAAGGACTCGAATGGTCAGACCGAGATGGGTGCCCATCAGCTCTTGGTGGAGCGCATCATCACATTGTCAATATGGGCCATTGAGCATTGTCCGGTGCACAGATTGCAGGACGTTACTTGGCTTGTTAAACTTGCTAGCCATTTGCTGCCATTTACAAAGTACTTCCCGCCCTACCCCGGCCTTCGCTCGTCCACCACTTTTTTACCGCACACGTAATCGGGAATAAAAGCCCCTGGATCGACTCTCGTAAACCGACAACGAGCTGTTGCCATGTGTTTTGTGTAATTTGAAAACCGAACCAGCAATTTCATAATGTTGCCATTCATTGTCATTGTCATTGTCATGACCATTGCTGCGCTGCTGCTATTATTGCTGTTGTTGCTGTTGTCGCTGTTGTAGTTGTCATTGTTGTTGTAGTTGTTGTCATAAATAAGCAGTGCAGCTTACAGCTCGCGGCTCACACTGAACGAGTGAATTCAATTTAACGAGAAATTGCAACAATCAACGCTGCTCGTTGCTTGTTCTTCTCCGCCACCCGCCACCCGCCACCCACCGCTCCAGCCCGCAGCCATGCTGCATGCACTTCGTTGCCATTGTTTTTTCTGTCCTTTTTTTTACGTGCAACCACCCGCCCACATTCCGCGGACAGCCCAAAAAAAGAGCAAGGAGGAAGACATAGCAATATACAAAAAATCCCAAACGGCAGAGTTGCCAGCTTCCGATTCTTAAATACCCTTTACCTACTTGGACATTCAGAAATAATGTTTTCATGTTTTTTATATGCATAGTGAATACTCAAATTATTTATTATTCATATCGATTAGAGTGGCATAAAGCGGAGTTTCCCCTTTTTTTATATTAAAAACATAGAGCAGAATTAGTGACTACAAGATTTGCAAGCAAGTCCTGCAACTCGACTAGTCATTAATATTTGTCATGCATTCCAAATGACGATCCCAGGACACCCTTCGATAATAGGGTGTGGAAAGGAAATACAAAAAAGAAGAAGCACAAAGTACTGACAAAAGGCTGACTGGCAAGCATTTTAAAGTGGCAGCAACTGACCAAGCACAGCAACTGAAGCAGTCAGCCAGCCAGCCAGCCAGCCAGCCAGCCATTCACAGGACACAGCTGGGGAAAAAAATAAAGGCGCCACAATAACACGAACGGCGGCACAAAATGGTGCAAAAAAGTCGACCAGCGTATGCCAACAATGTAATTTTAACGCTTGATCTCGGTGGAGCATACACACACACCCACACACATGCGGACACGCCCACTCGTGCACACACACACACACATACTCAGGAGAGCCACAGAGTCACAGGCTGGCCCTCTGACAATACCAACAACAACAAAAACAACATCAAACACAGCACAGCCAAAAAACCAAAAAACAAAAAAAAACAAGAAGCGGGATAATGGACACCGAGGAATGCTGTGGCAAAAAATGTAACATGCAAGGTTGTGGACGCGTGTGTTTTGTGTGTTGTGGATGTTGTGGGTGTGTGTGTTTGTGTGTGTGTGTGTGTGTGTGTGTGTGTGTGTGTGTGGGTGAGGGAGGGGTGGGGGGTGGGCGGCCAGGTGCGGGATGCCGACTGCAACCGTTTGCGCCTTTTTCCTGCGTTTTCGTTTGCGTTTTCACGCGTTTGTTGCATGCGTCGCACACTTCCTGACCCCCGACACCCCTCTCTCCCTGCCGCGAGGTGTCCTCGCGTTGTCTATGTCCGCTTGGCCCCCTCTGCGTTATTATGTGCTCGTGCTGCGAAACCGCAGATGGGCAGCCGCTGACGTTCGCCGCTTGCATGCCGCCTCATAATATTTCATGACTGTTGCAGATTGTTGGCGGCGGCCCTGTTGACGTTTTTTCGATTATGCGGCAACAGGACACGCGAATTTGCACAAAGCCACTGCAGCAGCGGATGCAAACATGAACAAAACCAACATCTCTTCCCCTCGCCTCCCTCTCCCGCCCTTCTCCTCCCAGTCCAGTCCAATCCAGCTCAGGCAACACAAGTCAACAACAGCCAACGACCAGTCGGCGCCCAATGCGCAACTGAAAGCTGCATGACAAACACAAACACCCACACCACATACAAATACGTACTCCTCTATGTATTTAGTATATGTATATGCACTGCGTACACGTACACGTACACGTACACGTGTATGTATGTGTGCGTGCGGGTACGTGTGTAATGCCATACGGCAGTTAAGTTTTAGTTACAATTGAATTAGAGTTCAGCCTTAGACCGGTTTGGTACTGCGGACTGCAGGATCATCTGGGAGCGTGCCAAGAGAAATATCAGATACACATCCATTGCACGCTACACGCAAGATCGTATGTTCCTGAACATTATCTTTAATGGTATAACGGCCTTAACTCTTCAGTTGATGAGCTCACTCCTCGGCCTAGATATATTCTAAATGCCACTCTAATATTGATAATCTGGTATCTGATATTGGCTACCATTGACTTAAATCTACCATGGCTTTGGTTTGATTAAGGAATTAGAGCTAACTTAGTTATAATTGCCTTCCCTCCCACACTTAAGCTAAGCTCGAACTAAACATTTGTCGTGCACAGTCTACGAGAAATACGAGAGACTAGTCTGGTATTGTTAAACCTCTCACTATACCCAACACTTATCAGTTCTTGGAGCCTTAATCCGAGAGGTAGAATCTCCATAAATTATTGATTGATATGCATTCTCTACCCTACTGCTACAGCATCTCTGGTAGAAGTAGAGGTAGAATCATTATTATCGTAAAAGCAGATGTAGAGATAGAATTATATTGTTTGGTCAAAATACGGCTTTGAAAGCAAATGTTTGTAACGCTTGGGTTCCACTGCAAAAGCAGGTCACATATCACTCTTGAATTTAAAACTGGGTAGGCCTGATACTTGTATATATATTTTTAATGCAATTTACTATTTACCCCAGATATATATGTACATATTTCCAATATTCCATTATATGTATTCAAAAATCAATGCACGAAAATTCAAGTATAGTTTGCACTCATTATATTTTGCACGCGATAGTTTAAGCGGTTCGAAAATTGATAGGGATCAGAGCTCCTGTGAAACCGTTGCTTATCCTTTCCCACTGCCATGAGTTCGGTTTGTGTGATTGTGACGGTGCCTACGGAGGAGGAGGAGCGCCGTTTGCATACATGTCGCTGTCGCTGCGGTCGCAGCTATATTCGACGGGACTATGTGCGCTGTCGCTCCGAGAGCGGAACTGGGGACGAGTTCGACGGGGCTTGCAATATGACGATGTGTGAGCACTGCTGGCGTCTGACGCAGCTCGATCTGGCCTCGATGTATGGCAAGTATGGTCGGGCCTATGCCACGCCGATGAGCGGGGTCAGCACGGAGTCGAAGCCGCCTAAGGTTGTGACCAAAACTACTGGTTTGATTGGCACCACCACTAGCACCGGTAGCAGTGGCATTGGTCGTGGCGATGATGAGGCATCAGTGGCACGGCCTGAGCGCTGCCGACGAACTCGTACTCTGCGGCTAGGCCTGAGCGATGGTACACCCTTGGAGGTGGTGTTGCGCACCATTGTGGAGCAGCTGCATCTGGAGAATGTGTTCTGGTCGAAGGACGTCGAGGGGCGGCATCTACAAGCGCGCTTTAACATGCAGATGGATGAGCGGTACGAGTGCCTGCTCTGCACTCTCCAGGACTGGGGCGTTGGCGAACGCTTGGGCACCCGAGTGGAGGCAATGAACTGCTTGGACACGCGAGCTTATGCGCAACAGCCCTCTAGCCAGGGCCTGGAGAGCACTACATGGGAAACGTTCATGGACTCGGTGCGCTGTCGCTTGAATGTGAATCAGGTGGTGCGGCAGGTGAGCCGTGATGCCACTCTGACCTTTGACTTTGTGGTGCTGCTAATTGCCGCGGCTCTACTGGCGTGTGTAGGTCTGGTCGAAGATAGTTTTCTGTTCATGTCGTCGAGCATGCTGATCTCCCCACTGATGGGGCCTATCATTGCGGGTGTGTTTGGCACGGTTATTGGGGATCATAACCTTCGCTGGCTTGGAATGAAGAACGAACTATTCGGCATAGCCATCGCTGCTACCATTGGATTTATTTTTGGCGGCGTAGTGTGCGTCATGGGTCACTTTTTCGCGATATCTCGTGGTCTTACCGCCGAGATTCTCTCTCGTTGCGACACCCACTCTCTGGCTATGGGAATTTTTACTGCATTGGCTTCGGGAGCTGCGGGCGCCATCGGAATTCTGGGCGGCAATACGGGATCGTTGGTAGGTGTTGCCATTTCTGCTTCCTTGCTACCACCGGCAGTCAATTCAGGCCTACTATGGGCGCTAGCAACGGGCACACGACTAATGGGGCCGGAGAGCGCGCTACTCCAGAGCCTGGCCAAGCACGCCCAGTATTCCAAGCATCTACCCATTGAGCTGTTTGTCTGCGCCTCCATAAGCATGGGTCTGACGCTGCTCAACATTGTCTGTGTGTGGCTTATGGGAGTGGTGGTGCTGCGCATTAAGGAGGTGGCTCCAGCGGTGCGTCGGAACCATCAGTTCTGGCGCCATGATGTCAAAATAGCGCGCGAATGTGCACACCACGATCCCGCCTTGCAGGATGCGATCGATCGTTTGGACCGCCAAAAGAAACTGGACCAGGAGGGTGAGCTGGACCTGAACGCTCCTCAGTACCAGCATACGTGGTCGCCAGGCACGCGACACGTACTTGAGCCGCAAGCCACTGCGGCAGCCGCCACGTGCTCGGCGCAGGGCAATAATTATCACACAGTGCACGGATTCCAGGAGTTCTGTATCACGTTGCACAAGTTAAACAACCCCGGGCGTTTTTCGCAGGGTAGCGGTGGCGGCCGTAGTCGTGACGGCCGTAGCCGTGACGTTCCAGAGTCCCTATGCCGTTCGCTGCCGGCGGACGCACGATCCACAACACCCGCACACCCCATCTCGGTGATGGAGCTCTTTGCTCAGGGACCCAAGGGAGTCACGCCGACAGCCATAGCCGAAGACACCCTCAGCCTGCAGCTGGAGGGTCAGCAGGAGGCGACCAGTTATCGGAGCATGCCCGACCTGAGCTTCAACTCCCCCGTAAAGCTCTGGTCTCCGGGAAAAAAGGAGTTCCAGTTGTTGCAATTGCCACAGGACATGCAACGCTCCGCCAGTTCATCATCAGATCGCATTGGACGCAGTCATGAGCGCAAGCGTAGCGTCCACTGGAGCTTTGCCAGCGAGCATGAAACAGAGGATGAATTTCCAGTGGCGCTACCGCCGGCTCCGTCGTGCCTGGAAGTGGCGCACGTGAGCAGCCTCAGCACTTCGCAGCTGCCGAGCAATAGTCCCGAGGCCTTGAAGCGCAATACGGGGCAAGTTCTGCTGCCTTTGCCACAGCCGGTGCCCATGGCTGTGTCCATGTCGGAGCTGGACTCGCTGCTGCCCAATCGTCGTCTCCGACTGCTGCACGAAAACGAGGCGAACGTCCCGGAAAACAACAACTACAGCAACGTCAGCAATGAACTGGTCAACGAGTGCGATGAATACCAAGCCTAGCTGGAGGCCGTGTTCATGAGCACTACTACACTACTACACGCCACATAACACACAGATACACACCAACACAAACCAATACAGACACACAGCAATTGCATCAGCCATCTGCAAAAAAAAAAAAAAGAAAAATTGCTAGCCACTTGGCCCTTTCACTTGGGCGCCAGATAAGCGAATGGCACTGCAAACACAGCCGGTAGTCTGTTCCCTTCTCCGCTGACTCGATGAAATGAAGTGTCCAGGCGGCAGCATTGACCAACAGCCATGTTTACCTGCCTCCTGGTGGCCAAAAGCCTGCCTTGCCTTGCCTTGCTTTGCTTTGATTACGTTCTCGACCAAGGCTATCTCACTTGGACCATCGTGCCGAGTCTCTGGCCCGTGTTTGCTCTGCACTTGAAGCTGGCAACGCTCGCGACTGCAACTGTGAGGAACATTGACATACTACTTGTATAGTAGTTGACATTCAGGCTATATAGGCGCCGTAGTCTGACTGTTCCTTCCACTGCACAGCTGCTTCAAGAACAGCCACATCGTTGCACTTTCTATGGAACAATACATACTTGTATTTAATTGCCACCCAAATTTCTATAAATGCTACGATACATACTTAGTATGTGTCTGTCATGCCACATTAGGGGTCTGTGTTGTAAAACTAATAAAAAGAAGAGAAACAGAATAAGAAAAACAATTCCAGATTCACTTAATAGAGATTTGTGGGCTTTGCTTAATGAAAAAGATTGTCACCTAGTTAGAATGAACTGCTAGGAAGGAATTATATTAAATATAAATTAATTTAAATGATGACTTGCCCAAAAAAAGATCCACTTATGGCGGCTTTAGACTATAAATACTAGAAACACTATCAGTATTTAGGGAGACTCTCACGAGAGAAAATTAAAGGAGTTTGCCATTACAAGCCTTTTCAGGGAATAATTGACATCAACAAAATAATAGTCGAGAATTTCAGCTGGAGATACTACTTATTACCAATTGAAGAAATTAAAAAACAGTACACTAGTTCAATTAATTAATTACAATTTAAATCAGAATAAACAAATTATGTTAGAAGCACTCGGATTTATTTCCAGGCTAGCTGCATTCAAGAATCAGTCTTCGGCTGTCTTTGATGTCCTTGTGAATCGATTTTTATGCTTTCTCCTTTATAGTATGTTTTAATCTGCTCTATTGGTTTTGTTGCTTCATTTCCTTTGGCCACGTTCAACAATTCTCTGTTTGCCACGATTTTAAGTGTTATTATACCCTTACATGCAAGCAGCTATTAGACAATAACAACAACAACAGCAGCAGCAACAACAACAATTTACGTGTTGCGCTTTTATTGTGTTCGGACATTGTTCGCCGTAGCTGCACTTCTTCTTGTTGCTGCTGCCATTGTTGTTGTTGTTGCCCATTGTTATCTGTTTTGGCATGCATCCTTTTGCGCACGAGGCGGCGATGTTCCATGTTCCATGTCCGGTCCATCCTGTCTGCCTTGGCCCGCTGCCCGCTGCCCGCTACCCGTGGCCCGTGGCCCATGTCCCATGGGAAGTGTGAAAAGAGCAACAGAAAGAATGGCGAACAATACACACATACAAACACACTCACACACACAGAGAAAGAGAGAGAGTAATTCACACATTAGTTGGGGTGTGTGTGTGTGTGTGTGTGTGTGTGATTGCACTTTGATGTGTTTGTTACATTTCTTGAATGGTTATTTCCATTTTCATTTAGCGCAAGGTGTTTGCTTATTGCCTGCCCTGTTTTTCCCCTTGCAGGATTTTCCTCTTTTCCTCCGGCATCGCGTTGTGCAACATTTAACACCGGGCAGCAATTAACTCGTTTCTTCATCGTTTGCCCGCTAACGAGCCTCTAATGTGAACCTCTGCGCCTATTTGCCCCTAGAATGTGCTCTGCCTAGCACATTCCACGGCGCATTTGTCAAGTGTCTGCTCATATAATTTTACGATACAGTTGAGTGAGTGCTCGTTTGTGTGTGTGCATGTGTGTGTGTGTGTGTGTGTGTGTGTGTGTGTGTGTGTGTGTGTGTGTGTGTATAGATGTGTGGGTGCATGCCCTTGGTAATTGACATGCTAAAATGTTTATGGGCCTGTTTTTAGAGCCATCGTCGTTTTACGATGCGTCAATTGGCTGCGTGCCTAAGAAAAACCCATCCACCATCGACAGCAACTCCATCTATGTATGTACATACTTGTATGTGTGTGGATAAGCCTAAGCCGATTTGAAATAAACCGTTTACGAAACGATTTGTAGAATGGCTCAAAATTAGAATTGAAACAATAACTTATCGAGCGTTATCGCAACAATTTCTTCAGCCATAACTATCACAAACTTATCTTTAAGAAATTGAAATCAGAATATGAATAGAAACGAAGGCACCAAGAAAGTTATTATATGGAAAATGGTACATTTTATGAATTCTAAAAAGCGTAATGAGAAACTGGAAACTGGATATCACCAAAATAATGCAATTTTGTATAGCTATTCTCATTTATATCTTCGTATAATTTAAATACATTTTTTCTGCTAGTCTAACATTTTTGTGGACTGTTTTGTTGATTTTTATTCAAGCTACAACGTTCTTCAGTTAACAACAACAAATATTTATCAGTTTTCAAAAAACATTATACCGATATACCTGGATTTGGATATGTATTGTTTTCTTGTAAGCAATGTCGATTTTTGGAGCCAAATTCAGGCGCCCGCCATTTTAAGTAACCCTATTTAATTGTTACATAGTGATAAAGTTTAATATTATGTAATGCTTAAAACCAGCTAGAACTACCTCCACTGGATCGATGTACGAGTTCTGTTCTTATTCTGCCAACATTTCGCTTTTTAGTTCACAGAAAAGCTGCACAAAATGTGATCAGATTTGATTTCGAGTTCATAGTGAGAAGTACTTGTAAAATAATCAAAATGTTGCTTGGCTGACTGCTGTTCATTTTCCTCTGTGCCCTTCCCTGTAATTAAATATAATAATACTAAAAACTGCCATTTATGTATGTCAAGAGGATCATTCAAGATAACTTTTTAAAAATGTTGCAATCAGCTTTGATTCGTCACGAAAATGGCAACAGTTTTTGATTCTCGTTCCAATCAGCTTAATTGCCAACTAACTGAAAAGGTTTGCTGGTTGGTCCTTTTGGTCTGTCCCCGAAGATGGTTCGTCTTTGTGCGCAAATATAGTCGCAACTGTAATGAGCTTGTCTTGCCTTTAAAGTCTCGGCACATTGAAGTTCTAGTCTCATTATGCTTCCATTTATTTGAGTGATTAAACACCAAGTTATTACAGCTTTTGCCTTTGTCATTGCCTTTTACTTCTATGTGTTTGCTTAATTATTTTCATAATTATTTATAGTTTTATTTATCACTCTTAACAACTTTTTTATGGCCACATGCCCCAGAGATAAAGCAAGTCAGCCGGAGACTGCGAACTCTTCACAGCCCGTGGTTCGAATCGTTCCACAGCCACTACTCGCACCACTGCCAGCGACTAGCTTCCATACTCACTCTTTTAAATTGCTGGCAAACTATGCAACTGGCCAACTGGGGACGTGGTCTGAGCCCGGATCTCGACGCAAGCGGAGCAACTGAAAGCTCAACAAAAAAGAAAAACACCAGTGGAGTGCAAAAGAAGCAAAAACAACAAGAATGAACAAAAAAGAGAACACACGGAGAAGAAACTGCAGCGCAGCAGTGAAGACAAAAAATATTTAATATTAAATGGGGCAAAAGCAAAGTAAAACTTTGATCCTTTTGTGTTTTCTCTAGCCCTTGGCAGGCAGCCGGCTGCCGGCAGCCGGCAGCAAGCAGCAGACGGCAACGGAATCACTAGCAGTTTCAACTTCTGCCTCAACCGACGGGCACGGCGAGTTCCTTTAGCTCCTGCTTATACTTATATACATACATATACATACACATATAGATATAGTGTGCTTGTTCTTGTGTGTTCCGTGCACTCGACTCCTTGCCGGGCATCGCTTTTTAAATAGTTGCACCTTTTGCCACTTGATAAGGCAGTCCCTACAATAGCAGCCACGAACGTATGGGTGGATACGAGCGCAAGGGCCTTAAGTACTTGGCAGAAGTTCCTTGGGCTTAACACCCAACACCCAGCACCCAATATCCAGCAGCCAGCAGCCAACAGCCAACAGCCAAGGACTGCAGTGCCCATAAAGCATACGGGGTTATATTTAATCTGCACCAAAACGTTCGCTGTCTGTCATAATGCCTGGAACCGCCCTCCGAGTCATTCGCGTCTTGCGCGTCATTCGCGTCATTCGAATGACACCGATGTCACTCAAACGATAGATGGACATGGAAAGCAGAAAAGCCGACATCGAATTATTATTCAAGGAACTTTTAAAGATAATTTGAATGATATTGAAGAATTTCTGCTGCTCATTTTCTCTCGAAACTATATTTATCTCTCTGGCTGAGGTCCCGAATATTTGGGAATCAGTATGAAAAGTTGAACTTTGTCTCAGCATCTTAAATAATATTTCAAAAACTTACAATTTACTAACTTTATAGATGCCAATATACCATTTATTCGATTTGTCGCATATTATTAAGAACTCCCCATTGATATATACTATATTACTTCTATATCTCTCTTATCGTCGTATTGCTCGGCATTTTCTCTCTAAAAATCTGTGTAGGGTATATCCTTTTTCGTGCTTACTGTTTGACCTAAATGGAGTTGAACTTGTTTACAAACATCTTCCAGTAACTAAGTTCCTCCGTCCTACAGGTCTTCTAATTCTAAGCTCCACTGTGCAGCACCCCTCTTAATCTTAAGTCTATAGTATAAAATTGTAGAAAAAAGATTGATCCTAAATTGAGTTTCAATCTTCGTAACTGAAATTTGTTCTTCAAAAGGGATGTTTATGGTTTGACTTTTTTATGTTTTCCTAAGTTTTCAGTTCCTTTGTTACCAATTAAGAACTACATATATTTTATCTTGTATACTTGTAGATGAATTGCTGAATACGTTTTGGAAATAGATTTATTTCTTTTAAAACTACTTCTAATGATCTATCCTTTTGTTTCTTTTGCTAAAAGCGTCCTATTCAGGCATCTCCGGATAATTTTTTGAAACTATGGAAATTGGTCTAAATATAAATATTTTCAAATATTTTCTCTGGCGTGGCCTCGAGTCAAATTCAAAGCATGTATATACTATAAATTGTTTGTTTTGAAATATATTGCCGTTTTCTTTGTGTGGTTTTTAACGGCCAACTTTTCTATATGTAGTGTTTTTTAAAATAATTGATCATCACAGAACGGTGTAACTTTGCATTTTTTTCTATCTTTATTCTCTATGTGAGAAGCCAAGAAATCTCAAAGCTTTTCTTAATTAAAGAGCAACATCTTGTGATTTTTAGATGTGAATTGAAAATCGTTTTAGAATCCAGTATTGATCCAAAATTGGTTTTGTAAAGTAAAGAAACTTTCTCATTTTAGAACATTTTTTTGAAAATGTGTATTTTTGAGTGTGGAAGGCAAAACGTTGTCAAACCTAATTTAAAGTCAAATTGTTATCCACCGATGCCTTCGCATGCTAGCATTAGTTACGTTTATTGAAGGCAATGGTCCGCATTGCATTTCGACGATTCGCAAAGGGAAATTAAATGATTTTTTCAGAGGTAACCCAATTGGCATTTTTGCATTTTGATCGGGTGCAGCTGCTTAATAAATATTTCATACATTCTCAATTGCTTTGGTACGCGAAGTGCAGCAATTGAACACCCACAAACGTGCCACGCCCACAGCCACACACACACACAAACACACACACAAACACACACACAAACACACACACACATACACACCACGACTATTGCCAGCAAGGGATGCACCGACAGGACCAGCTTGGAATAAATTCAACGCTCTGCTTTCTTTTTTGGGCTGTCTTTGTTGTTTTTGGCTGTGTTTCTCTTTTAATCTTGCCGTTGCTCCCTGAGCTTGCCTTGTCGGCACTTGCTTCGTCCTGCTACATTTGGCGTGCCCTTGCCCCTGCTCTTGGTCCTGCTCTAGCCTCTTTTGCAGCTGGCATTGTCCTGGCTCTGCCTGCTCTTCTTGTAAATTATGTGTTTTAATATTTTACAAAGACTCGAAAAACTCAGTACTTTGTTTGTAATCTTTCTTTTGTTGTTTCTTTTGCAGCGTCTGGAATGTAAGTAGTAATGAGCAGTGAGGGGGTCTGAGTCGGGCGAGGCGGGGCGGGGCGGGGCGAGCGTGGCATGGCTCCTGGTGTGAACATCATCTAAATAACTACAAAAGACAAAAATGCCGAGGAAGCGAAGCGACGCATAACGAGCCAAATCACACAAGAAATAGTAAGTTTTAATTTTGACAAAAGAATTTCGCAACTATTCGTTATATTTGTCTTTTTTCTCGTGCTTTGCAACTTTCCGCACAGAGCCTTTAACCCATTCCCAGTGCCTGTGCATTTAAATGTCCTATGCAAGTTTTTAAAGCGTAGCTCGTCAAATTTATTAGTTTAAGGACAGCTGAGATACTGACGGAATAGGCGCCAATGCCTTATTCAGTCTTTAACACATGAAGTAATTATAGTATAATTGTAGTTCCTTATTCAGTCTTTAACACAAGAACTAATTATAAATTTGAGCAAAAAAGTCACAAATTTAATGCCATATGACTTTATTTTCATGAATGAAGATTCGTGGAATGATCGATTAAAAACTGGTATCAATTAAAAACAGGTAAGGCAAGACTTTCTGGATACAGGGTATACTTGTAAGAACAATCAGAGCGCCCTTAGCCTGCCAGTAGGGATCCTCTTACTTATTTACAATTTACTTGCAAAAAAAAGTACTAATTGTTGATATTAAAATTAATTTTTGAACCGATTGCCAACCATATAGTATATCATACAACTCATAGTTAACCGTTTCACAGATTGTGAAAAGGCATGTGTAATGCCAAATCACAAATAAATTCAAAATTTGGTAGCTATATAAAATGATGAGGCTATACAAGTATATGGTTCGTAATAAGCATGCACTTTATATGGATAAAACAAATCGACGTACCAAGTTTGGTATACCTTGCCGTTATGGCTTAAAAGTTCTCGGACTTCATAATGACGGACAGACGGAAATGTCTATATCGCCGCATCTCGTCCTGATGATCTTTAAAACGTATATGAAAGTAGAGTCTGGCACGCCTTCTTCTGCCTGTTTCATACAAATGGCATTTGGACAAGTATACCATTTACCCTTCGGCTATAGGGCACCTATGAAATGAAACAAACAAGTTAAGCAGTTATCCTAGTCTGTGCCGAGGCCATATACTCCTTGTGTCTTACAAGAGGACTTTATTCCTCCTTGGTCATGCGCCGAGAGATAGCTCTACCTTTTGCTTCCGCACTATCTTATCTATCATTACAAAGCATTTATTTTTTAGATTTTTTGTAATTGACTATGCATAGAAAGCATTCTCGAACATTGCAAAAATTTAAATTTAAATTTTTAATTTAAATTGAGATGATCGGTCAGTACACATTATCTGTGTTCGTCGAAAGGCGGCCACGGTGGGAAGTTTTATCGCGACAGCACACCTATTTGGCATAAATGTTTCCAGGATTCTTTTATGGCAAAATGTTGAGAATATTGTAGTTAGTTTTAATGTTGTTTTTTGTTTTAATTCTCCGTTTTATAGATTTTCACTAATGTTAATATAACATTCGCCTGCAGCAGCCCCCAAAAGTATGCCACACTTTAAGCAGCTGAGCTATTAGGTGGAGGAGTCCCATTTGGGTGGCTGGCAGTCGGTTATTCGGTTAGTCGGTTAGTTGGTTAGTTAGTTGTTTAGCCGGTTAGTTGGTTAGTTGGTTGTTTGGTTAGCTGGTAATTAACAAGTGTAGTTGCTGATGGTGTAAGCAAATCGGCAATTAAGCCACAGTGTCCCAGCACATGACTTGTGCTGCTCGTGAATTTGTGCTGTCAACATAAAAATGAGCAGCAGGTGCGTCTGCACGACTGCCTGCCAGACTTACTGCATGCAACTTAATTATCGGCGACAATTACGAGACCGTCCAGCAGCAGCAGCAACAAATCACATAGAAACACCACACATACTCCTATACATACATACATATACTCTTATGCATATGTATGTACTTACAGGACACATAGCACGACTAACCTGGAATGCGACAATTTACTTGCATGTGTGTGTGTGTGTGTGTGTGTGTGTCTTTTGCTGTCAACACATTTGTCTACGTGGCGTATGAATAATTGCGAATGCCAACAATTTGAACATTTGTCGTCGTTGTCTTTGTCTTTGCTGTTGTTGTTGTTGCTACAACAATGCTGTTGTTGCTTGCAGGCTTTGCAAGTTGAAGCCCGAAAATTCCACTGTCCACATTTGATATTATTTATGTGCAATGTGATTTCTTTTATGCACATTAAGCACACCTGTAACTACATACATACACACATACTCGTATGTGTGTGTGTGTGTGTGTGTGTGTGATAATTTGGATAAATAATTCTCAAATGTTAATTGAGTGTAAGAGAGTTGTTGCAGACAAAAGCTATCAGACTTGCCTTGTGGGCTGCTGTTTTGGGCATGTGTGAAAATTAATTAAGTAAATTATTAAGTGCCCAACAAAGTGGACACACACACGCACAACTCCACACATTCACACGTATGTATACTTGTACATACATGTACGTACGCACATACGTATGGAGATGCCAAATCGCATTGCTAAATGAATGTTATAAATTATGCTTTTATTATTGCTGTAAGTTGTAGTCATTATTGTTGTTCCTGCCATTGCTGTTGATGAACACGATAATGATTATGTCCGGCCACACTCAAACACACACACACACACACGCACACATGGACGTGTGATTCTCGTTTTGGCATTTGGCATTAATTGCGGGGTAGCTCTGAATTCACCTGCTCGCCCGCTTCCTTGGCCAGACACTCTCAGGCGCATTAGTCAAGAGTCGGAGTTGGCATTTTGTTGACGCCAAACATTAAGTAGTATTTATGATTTGAGTGGAAAATGCCAGTGAAAGAGTAAAACGAGCAACCGGAACGGAGCAGAATGGGATGGGACGGGGCGGGACGGGAATGTGAACAACAGCACCAAATGCTAATTTAATGAGTTAATTATTTTTTATATTTATTGCAATGAGAAATGCGCCCATAAGCTGTGCAATTAATTGTTTGGCTTGCATAGTTTTTCATTTTAATTTCCTGAGTGGAAGCAGCAGGCAAAGAATGCTGGTAGCTCATTTAATGGACGGCTAACGATTCCCTGTGTGGTATTCAACATTTTTATACACTTTAAGCGTCCTTAAAAAAAAAACAAAAGTTGATGTTGCAAAAGTTTGATGGTCTGCAATGGGCGCGCATATACTTCATTAATTAAATACTGATGAATGAAAAATGACTTGACTTCGAATCAAGGGTTTAATAATTGGAGCAATCGCTGGTTAATGGAAACGCGATGTAGCGTTTGTAAGCCAAAGCCACATTATTAATATAATTGTTAATGATCCATGCTTTTGAATGCATTGTTATTATTACTTGTTGATGAATTATGGCACTGCAAACTGAAGAATCTGCTGCCTTGAATGGCAAATTTTCCTACCTAGACGCCATATGAAGTGGTAAGTTTCCTGCGAATTTTGATTCAGTATTTCGCATTTGAATGAAACATTTTAGTGGGTTTCTAATGCAGTAAATAAACATACTTTAGCATTTATTTTCACATGACAATTTATTTCATAATAATCAAAAACGCTACTCTGCTGCTAATTGTGTATTGTTTCTGAATGTGGCTGCATCTTGATGTTCCGAATAGCCGTGTTAACAATTCTGTGAGCTTACGGAATGCAGCAAGTGGAGAAACTAGTTTTTCTGGAAATGCGAGTGTGTGCGGTTGTCGAAAGCTTATGTATAATGTATGCATTGGTCTGCTTTATGTAATTCGTTCATTGTTTAGGTGGGCGTATGAGTATAAGTTTTCCATCGTCAGTGCAGCTCATGTTGAAGTCTCTGAGAACGAGCCGGGTGCGATGGGTGATGACCATAGGACCCATTACAAGCTTCTTTATGCCGAAAATGAAGAGCGCAATCATCACCAAGGCGGATACGGAGAATGCGGGATGGCGCCATAGAGATGAATACAGGGGCAAAGTGGCCGAATGTGGATCCTTCAGCCAGTACCAGAAGCTAATAACAGTGGCCAAGAGCGCCGATATGAGTATCAGTCGCCAACGCACTGTGGAGGGCCTGTAGGACGACACAACCTCGGTCAGGCGTCGCTCGAAGGCCCTGAGATCATCACAGGCTGAATCGTCCAGCTTGAGTTTGTTTAATTTATGTCTCTTTCTCTTTTAGTATTTATCGGAGTTTGTTTTTCTCAAAAAAACAATAAAAACAGATCGGACAGCAAACGCAAAAACATTATTGCTCCCTTTTTTTCAATTCGACACATTTTTAAAACATTGAACTTGTTTTCAATAGAAGGCAAACTATAGAGTATTGGCATTAATCTTTGTTTGTTATTAGAGACTTTTGAATACCACATCGACTCAGAAACAATATCGAGTAGCTGGCAAAGAACTGTAATACATTTCCATTATAGTCTGGATCAACTAAACGAATCGATGATTTCGATTTTAAAATGTTCTATCTTCATATTTTTAAATTTGTTGGGGTAGAATGTTGAGTAGATTGATTGCCAAGCAATAGCAGCTGAAGTGGTATTACAGAACGATGTAGGGCACAGAGAATGAAGCTAGGCATAATATCTAATAACACCTATGATACATGGGGGGAAAAACATTTGGAATGAGGCCAGCAGTGCTTCGACTGAAAGCTTAATGTGATCGGAGATCTTACTGGATTTAACAATCTAAAATTATAAAACAAGTGCTTAAAAAACCTAAACCTACAACACCTTCTTGAAATTTATTGTTAATTTACACTGAAATCGGACGAGACGTTTTTCAAGATTCTGCTTCTTATTAAGATTAATAACAATAAACAAATTACTTGTTACATCTAATAATGAATTTAAATACAAGCATTTTAGATTGACACACACATTTTGTACAGCTTTTTATTTGTGCAAAAATATTGCACGTGTAAAATCGCCTTTGCTTGCGTTTGAACATGCAGTGAATTAAGTTTCGAGAGAAAATTCTTAATATACACATACTTGTAACTGCATAGCTATGAAGTGAAGTACATAGATACTCCTATATATGTAGGTATATGTATATAGGTACATATTTATTTGCGCCTTCAGCCTAAATGGTTGCAATCCAGAAGTTGTTCCACACTTTGTTGCACAGTCGTGTCCAACAGTTGTCAGCTGTCAGTTGCCTGCCGGTTTTGATTATTTGTGACGTCACAATTGTGACATTCATTTAAATGAAACGGATTGCACGGCAGTATCAATCGCTGAACATAACTTTTCGCTTCGATATTCTGCGTTATTGAAAAATAAAGTTCATCAACTCGATGGAGGAGGAGGAGATGAAGAAGAAATAAAGCCAGCGCGAAAATTCCGCAAATGAAATGTTTGTTGAACGTATTTATTCTCCTTTCTGTTGTTGTTGCTGTTCTTGTTGTTGTTCTGATGGGCAGAGCGAAGAAAGTTTGCCAATCATGCCAAACGTCTGACGAGCCGCCCACAACAATTTTGCCTGTCCGTCAATCAATCACACAATCATTCATGCGCACATTAATTTATTCATTTTAGCGAATCGTCGTACAGTTTGATTAAAACACAGACGCAGCCTCCATGCCACCCGGCCATCCTGCTCTCGCAGGATCTGGCCTCATCACAAAACGGCCTCTGCCGCCCATACACAAAATATGCTTGATATTTAATTGCTCTTTTACCAATTTCCGTCTCTGGGCACCAGAAAAGCACGAGGGGCTCACATCCTGGCCACATCATGGATGAGGCAGGCACGAGCTGCCATGCAAAACATTTTTAATTACTTAACCGGAAATTGGCAATTATAGCGATTTATCGCCAACATGCATAAAGGGGGCAGTAGTGGAGTGGTCTCACAACCCCCACTCCACTCCACTCCACTCCACCCCCACCAATTCAAGTCTCATTTTCTATTTGTTGGCTTCTGAAACTTACGCGAAGTCAAATCTATTAAAACGTTTTCGGACCACTAGTTGCGATTTTTCAAGCGAAATTAGCGGGAATTCTCATTTGTACGCGAAGTGAAATGACAGCAGCAGCAGCAACAACAGCAACAACAACAACAGCAAAAATGCCAAAAGGGGTAAACACAAACAAATATCAGACAACAACTTCGGCTCGGCTGTAGCATCAGAAAACGCTTCGACATCGGCTCCTTTCGTTCGAGCCCAGCCCCCCAAGAAGGCGGCCTTGGCGAGAAGGAAAAGCAGCAGCTAATGGCTTGTGCATGGCAAATGAATTCCAATAGCCATTGCCGCTCTATAACAGCAGCAACAACAATAAGTTTAACAGTAACCAACACCAAGTCATTGCCTTAATCAACTTTTAAATGGCAATGGCGGCGTTTTCGGCGTCAACGTCAACGTCAGCGTCAACGTCAGCGGCAGCGTCAACGTCGGCCTGATCGAAGGTGCTGCCAACTCGTTCGTTCGTTCGTTCGTTCGTTCATTGTTATTTATTGTTTTTGTTGTTATTGCCGGCAATTTATTTCAATTTTGCCAAGCTGCTACAAACTTTTGTATTGTCATTGCCGCCGCTGCCGTTTTTCCAATTAGAAATCGGTGTGCGGCTGCTCCCCAGAGGTCCCTGTCGCGGTCGTCGGCCACGGGATGAGCTGGCGAAGGATGGTGGTCCGTGCTCGGGCGCTCTGTGCTCGGGTCACCGGCTGTGAGGCAGCGCCATAAAAACTCATTTAACTTTTTTCCGCGGCAAATGTCGATAACTTTGACTTTGACTTGATGAGCGCGACTGCGTTTTGTCTGTAATAGACAAAAGTTCAACTTTTTGTTTATTCATTTGTGTGCGAGTGTCTGTCTGTCTGTCTGTCTGTCTGTCTGTTTCCGCGTGTGTGTGTGTTTTTGTAAATAAGGAGCAGATGGCTGGGATAGAAATGCTGTCCAGTTCAAGGCGCCAATTTAGCACTATTTATTATTTTCCATTTACTTTCAGCAACTCACTATAAATTGTGAGACAGAGTCGATAGAGAAATTGTGCAATAACTCTACCAGCATCGCAATTGATCAAATGAACACTTTTCTCATAATTAAGCGTTTTCTAGCTTACAAATTTAGCATTATTTAAATAAATAAATAGTCTACAGATTATGGTTGACCTATTAATAGGTCAGACTGCGGACTCACTTTTTAAAACCAACTTCGAGACATTTTACTCTACTAGCATCGCAATTGATCAAATGAACACTTTTCTCATAATTAAGCGTTTTCTGGCTTACAAATTTAGCATTATTTAAATAAAAAAATAGTCTACAGATTATGGTTGACCTATTAATAGGTCAGACTGCGGACTCACTTTTTAAAACCAACTTCAAGACATTTTGGAGACGCGAAGAAAAAACATTTGTGTCCTTTAATTTTAGAGGATAATAAATATGATTATTAGATCGCTCTTCAGTCTGATAATTCATTTGTGTTTTGCAACTTTATGTTCAATACTAATTCCTTAAAAAGAAACACTTTTTCTAGGTAGTTCTATTCTTTTTATGAACAATTCAGTTAGAAAATCTTGCTTGAAAGACAAAGTTTATTTGTTATCGAGAACAAATGTGGTATATACTTGTACTTACTTATTATAAAGGCTTGGGTGCACTTTACGAGAACTATACTCGGCAGTTGTAGGGAAGATCGATGCAACATTTTATCAAGGTAATCTATTCGCTTAGTTTGCATCGTAAAGGAAAAATATTCTCGCCAAATTTGAATTTTGCCTGCATATAAAATCCCAAAACGGATAAAAGTGTTCGCTTGTATTCTCGTACACCTATGAAAAGTTATTTTCAACATTGAAATAAATAGTTCATGGACATTCAAAACAGATGAACATTTAAATTGCATGCAACCTCTGCTTTAATTTGGAGAACGAATGCTGGATGGGACGTTACTTTGTTGTGGTTGTTGGACTGCTGGCGTGGAAATTTGAATTTTGTAAAGAATTAGCTACCAAATAATATGGAAAATTGTTTATTTGACTTTTATTTAGTTTGACATATTTCAAGGGCCGCCACGTTCCGTTAAGCACTCTCGCCCACTTCGACTTCTTTGCAGAGTTTTCTTGCAATTTGCCGCCATGTTGTACCCGTGAGTAGGGTGGCTGTCTCTTAGTCCACATCATCTCACCCCTCACCCCTCACCACTCCACCACTAAGCAAGTGAAACTTGGAAACCACAAGCCGAGCAGCCAAGCCAACCAACTAACTGCATTGCACACTAATTTCAATTGGCTCTGGCTGATGCCCAAGCCCCAAATGCTCCAATCTCCTGCCCCCTTCTTCCTGGTCGAAAATTCGCTAGTTTATGGCACAAGTTTTCGGCGAAAAATGCGCTCAAAATGTCAAGTGCAATTTATACAATTTTCATGTTTGGAAAATTGTTGGACGCGTGGCCAAAAAATCGGACAAAACGCCAGGAACTTTGAAGCCAACTAACTTGTCAGAGAAATGAGGAAGGTGTGTATGTGGGCTTGCTTTTACCTTTCAGGAGATAGTAAAGTCGCATTACAAAATATTCTCAAATTTAAAGAGGAAATCCATTGAAGGTGATGAGAATGGTGAAAACTTCAAATTCAGCACTTAATGGAAAACTTCCCCATAATCTCTAACTATGTTAGACTTGGAATTGAGATATTTCAGAGAAGCATTAACCATATTAGTATTAAGCGCCCAGTTTAAAGGATATTTTTATAATTAATTAATATGTTTATATATATATATATGTATATACTGTTGAAACATAGTGTTTCGGTAGCCAACAAATCCACTTCATTCTTTCCATTGCAAAACTAAGTTATGTTTTTAGATATAAAGTGTGTTATGTTTAAAAGGCTTATCCAGCCTCTGTGAAGCTTTTCTTTGTTGAAAGATTTATTGGAATGTTGGTTGGAATGTCTGGTCTAAGCTCGCGGGGGAAAACTGTTGTTCAATGCTAACAATAGGTTTTCCAAAGCCTCCTCGCACTTTATTTCGAAAAAAATTAAATAAAACTAGAGAGTTTGGTTGAATATTATATCCAAGGTAAGTGAAGTGTTTAGACTGATAAGTGTGATGTTAAGATTCTTATACTAAGTTGGTAGCATATCATTTAATCAATACATTCCTAGTCAGGACGGGCATGCTATATGCAAATAGCATTCGTTTTGGCGGCCAGTTTTTTGTGCTTCTAAGCTGGCTTTCTACTATAGTATACTATATTATACTTGTACGTTCAGCGGGAGAGGTACGTGATTTTTCCACGGCTCCAGTTGAGCATTCTGCAAACTTTCCGCGCTTGTAATTTTATTGGTTGGCAACATTTGTATTTTTTTTCTTCTGTTGGCCGTTTTGTTTTTCCACTTTGCCATTTTTTCCGTGTTTTGTTTTTTGTTCAGTTGGCTTTTTTGTCGGACATGCTTGTGAAAAATGGTGTGGGGGCGAGGAAATCGGGGGCGACCACGCGCAATCGGTCAGAGCAACAGATACGAAAAACAAATGCAATCGTCGCTTCTGTACATGCTCTATATATATATCTATATATATATGTGTGTGTGTGTTTTTATCTCGGATGCTGCAGCATTGCCTGCGAATGCCTTGCACTGTGGCCGCGTTGCGTTTTGTTGTTTCTGCCACTGCCACTGCCACTGCCATTATTGCTGTTGTTGTTGTCTGCGGAGTTTGTAATATTCCCCAATGTCAGTTTGATGCAAAAACTTTTTGCACAACAACAAACAAGTTTGCAACAGCAACAGCAACAACAACTACAAAAAAGGGGAAAAGTTTTGGTATTTAATTGGAAAATTAAATTTTACGCTGTTAGAACACGTTGCTGATGCTCTTCGGCAGCGGCAACGGCAGCGTTGGGGCAAGTAGTAGCAACGGCAACAACAACAACAACAACAATACGAGCTGGGTATACGCGATGCGCCGGACAACAACGAATTGCAATTGGCAGCGCAATCACGCAAGGCACCCCCCTAGGCGGGAGGGAGAGGGAGAACGCAAACACGAATACGCACGC